TGGTAAGAGGAACATACATGTCGATAATTACCTTAAACGTGAATGGATTAAATGCTCCAATCAAAAGACACAGGCTTGCTGAATGGATACAAAAACAAGACCCATTCATATGCTGTCTACAAGAGACCAACTTCAGACCTAGGGACACATACAGACTGAAAGTGAGGGGATGGAAAAAGATATTCCATGCAAATGGAAATCAAAAGAAAGCTGGAGTAGCAATATTCATATCACATAAAATATACTTTAAAATAAAGAATATTACAAGAGACAAGGAGGGACACTACATAATGATCAAGGGATCAATTGCAAAAGAAGATGTAACAATTATAAATACATCTGAACCCAACATAGGAGCACCTCAATATATAAGGCAAATGCTAACAATCATAAAAGGGGAAATCGACAGTAGCACAGTCATAGTAGGGGACTTTAACACCCAACTTTCACCAATGGACAGATCATCCAAAATGAAAATAAATAAGGAAACACAAGCTTTAAATGACACAATAGACCAGAGAGACTTAACTAATGTAGTACATTCCATCCAAAAACAGCTGATTACACTTTCTTCTCAAGTGCGCACAGAAAATTCTCCAGGATAGATCACATCTTGGGTCACAAATCAAGCCTCAGTAAATTTAAGAAAACTGAAATCATATTAAGCATCTTTTCTGACCACAACACTATGAGATTATCAATTATAGGGAAAAAATGTAACAAACACAAACACATGGAGGCTAAACAATACATTACTAAATAACCAAGAGATCACTGAAGAAATCAAAATGGAAATCAAAAAAATATCTAGAGACAAATGACAATGAAAACACGATGATCCAAAACCTATGGGACACAGAAAAAGCAGTTCTAAGACAGAATTTTACAGCAATACAGCCTACCTCAAGAAACAAGAAAAATCTCAAATAAACAATCTAACCTTACACTTAAAGGAAGTAGAGAAAGAAGAACAAAGAAAACCCAAAGTTAGCGCAAGGAAAGAAATCATAAAGATCAGAGCAGAAATAAATGAAATAGAAACAAAGAAAACAAAGAGCAAAGATCAATAAAGCTAAAAGTTGGTTCTTTGAGAAGATAAACAAATTGATAAACCATTAGCCAGACTCATCAAGAAAAAGAGGGAGAGGACTCAAATCAATACAATAGAAATGAAGTAGGAGAAGTTACAACAGACACTGCAGAAATACAAAGCATCCTAAGAGACTACTACAAGCAACTCTATGCCAATAAAATGGACAACCTGGAAGAAATGGACAAATTCTTAAAAGGTATAACCTTCCAAGACTGAACCAGGAAGAAATAGAAAATATGACCAGACCAATCACAAGTAATGAAATTGAAACTGTGATTAAAAATCTTCCAACAAACAAAAATACAGGACCAGATGGATTCACAGGTGAATTCTATCAAACATTTAGAGAACAGCTAACAACCATTCTTCTCAAACTCTTCCAAAAAATTGCAGAGGAAGGAACACTCCCAAACTTATTCTATGAGGCCACCAACACCCTCACACCAAAACCAGACAAAGATACTACAAAAAAAGAAAATTACATAGCAATATCACTGATGAATATAGATGCAAAAATCCTCAACAAAATACTAGCAAACAGAATTCAACAACACATTAAAAGGATCATACACCATGATCGAGTGGGATTTATCCCAGGGATGCAAGGATTCTTCAATATAAGCAAATCAATCAATGTGATACACCATAGTAACAAACTGAAGAATAAAAACCGTATGATCTTCTCAATAGATGCAGAAAAGGCTTTTGACAAAATTCAACACGAATTTATGATAAAAGCTCTCCAGAAAGTGGGCATAGAGGGAACCTACCTCAGTATAATAAAGGCCATATATGACAAGCCCACAGCAAACGTCACTCTGAATGGTGAAAAACAGAAAGCATTTCCTCTAAGATCAGGAGCAAGACAAGGATGTCCACTCTCACCACTATTATTCTACATAGTTTTGGAAGCCCTAGCCACAGCAATCAGAGAAGAAAAAGAAATAAAAGGAATATAATTTGGAAAAGAAGAAGTAAAACTGTTACTGTTTGCAGATGACATGATCCTATACATAGGGACTCCTAAAGATGCCACCAGAAAAGTATTAGAGATAATCAATGAATTTGATAAAGTTGCAGGATGCAAAATTAATGCACAGAAATCTCTTGCCTTCCTATACATTAATGATGAAAAATCTGAAACAGAAATTCAGGGAACACTCCCCTTTACCACTGCAACAAAAAGAATAAAATACCGAGGAATAAACCCACCTAAGGAGAAAAAAGACCTGCATGCAGAAAACTATAATACACTGATGAAAGAAATTAAAGATGATATAAACAGATGGAGAGATGTACCATGTTCTTGGATTGGAAGAATCAGCATTGTGAAAATGACTATACTACCCAGAGCAATCTACAGACTCAATGCAACCCCTATCAAATTACCAATGGCATTTTTTACAGAACTAGAACAAAAAAATCTTAAAATTTGTATGGAGACACAAAAGACCCCGTATAGCCAAAGCAGTCTTGCGAGAAAAAAATGGAGCTGGAGAAATCAGACTCCCTGACTTCAGACGATACGAGAAAGCTATAGCAATCAAGACAATATGGTACTGGCACAAAAAGAGAAACATAGATCAATGGAACAGGATAGAAAGCCCAGAGATAAACCCACGTACCCATGGCCAACTAATCTGTGACAAAGGAGGCAAGGATATACAATGGAGAAAAGACAGTCTCTTCAATAAGTGGTGCTGGGAAAACTGGACAGCTACATGTAAAAGAATGAAATTAGAACATTCCCTAACACCATACACAAAAATAAACTCAAAATGGATTAAAGACCTAGATGTAAGGCCAGAACCTATCAAACTCTTAGAGGAAAACAGGCAGAACGTTCTGTGACATAAATCACAGCAAGATCCTTTTTGACCCACCTCCTAGAGAAATGGAAATAAAACCAAAAATAAACAAATGAGACCTAATGAAACGTAATAGATTTTGCAAAGCAAAGGAAAATACAAACAATACGAAAAGAGAACCCTCAGAATGGGAGAAAATATTGCAAATGAATCAATGGACAAAGGATTAATCTCCATAGTATATAAACAGCTCATGCAGCTCAATATTAAAAAAACAAACAAACCAATACAAAAATGGGCAGAACACCTAGACATTTCTCCAAAGAAGACATACAGATGGCCAAGAAGCACATGAAAAGCTGCTCAACATCACTAATTATCAGAGAAATACAAATCAAAACTACAATGAGGTATCACCTCACAGCAGTTAGAATGTACATCATCAGAAAATCTACAAAAAATAAATGCTGGAGAGGGTGTGGGGAAAAGGGACCCCCCCTGGACTGTTGGTGGGAATGTAAATTGATACAGTCACTATGGAGAACAGTATGGAGGTTCCTTAAAAAAGTAAAAATAGAATTACCATATGACCCAGCAATCCCACTATTGGGCTTATACCCAGAGGAAACCGTAATTCAAAAAGACACATGCACCTCCATGTTCATTGCAGCACTATTTACAGTAGCCAGGGCATGGAAGCAACCTAAATGCCCATCGACAGACAAATGGATAAAGAAGATGTGGTAAATATATACAATGGAATATTACTCAGCCATAAAAAGGAACAAAATTGGGTCATTTGTAGAGATGCGAATGGACCTACAGACTGTCATATAGAGTAAGTCAGAAAGAGAAAAATAAATATCGTATGTTAACACATATATGTGGAACCTAGAAAAACGGTACAGATGAACTGGTTTGCAGGGCAGAAATTGAGACACAGATGTAGAGAACAAACGTATGGACACCAAGCGGGGAAATCAGCAGGGGTGGTGGTGGTGGTGATGGTGGTGTGATGAACTGAGAGATTGGGATTGACATATGTACACTAATATGTATACAATGGATAACTAATAAGACCCTGCTGTATAAAAAAATAACATTCAATAATTCAAAAAAAACCCTTAGACATACTGTATTTTTTTTTTTTTTTTAGCGGTACGCGGGCCTCTCACTGTTGTGGCCTCTCCCGTTGTGGAGCACAGGCTCCGGACGTGCAGGCTCAGTGGCCATGACTCACGGGCCCAGCCGCTCTGCGGCATGTGGGATCTTCCCGGCCCGGGGCACGAACCCGTGTCCCCTGCATCGGCAGGCGGACTCTCAACCACTGTGCCACCAGGGAAGCCCTGTATTCTCTTATAAACTATTGGTTGTAACATAATAAATAGTTCAATATAAATGAAGTTAAGCACAAACCATATATGACATATTACATGAAATAGAAAAAAAAATAGATATCACATATTACATGAAATAGAAAAAAATATATAGATACGATATAGCCCAAAAATTACCCCCAAAAAGTTACCCTAGAAATTTCAAAAAGATTACATAACTAACATATAATTGTTAAAATGAAATGAATATACAAAATAGGGATATCAATTAAAAATTGTGTGCAGTTATTAAATTTCATTTCTTAATAAGCAATGAACTAAAACCTGTTAACTGATGTCCTACACAATGGGATGGATGTTATATTAAAATGATGGGCAGAGAGCAGTCGATACAAAGATTCTGAAATGTAAAACAACTGTTTGTTTTATATAGCTTATATTTTATTGGAAAAGTAATGTACTTTTCCAATAAAATGTACTAAAATGTATTCATTTCAATAATCTGTTTTATTTTCTATGTGTATTGTATGAATTTCCCTAAACCATTCTCCAGAGTTAACAATTTGAAACTCATTCATGTATTTTATTATGCATCCTACAACTAAAACTAAGAGTCAGGTAAGAATGATTGTGGCAAACAGCCTAATTACAGAAAAAAAGCTAATATATTTTTACACTACAACATTTTGAAACCAATTTTGTGCTTATTGAAGCACGATTTTTTCTTCATGAATATTTTTCAAGATTTTTGTTTTTTGGGTCAGAGTATTAGTTCCTTAGGGCTGCTGTAATAAATTACCACAGATTGGCTGGCATAAAATAGCAGAAATTTATTCTGTCACTGTTCTGGAGCTTGGAAGTCTGAAACCAAGGTGTCAGCAGTTATTAGTTCCTACTAAAGTCTATGAGGGAGAATCTATTCCATGCTTCTCTCCTAGCTTCCTATGGTTGCCAGCAATTCTTGGTGTCCCTTGGCTTGTAGATTTATCACTTCAATTTCTGCCTCTACCTTCATGTGGCATTCTTCCCTGTGTCTCTCTCTTCTCCTCTTCTTATAATGACACAGACATATTGGATTAAGGGCCTTCCCTGCTCCAGTATGACCTCCTCTTAACTACTTACATCTGCAATAGCCATATTTCCACATAAGGTCACATTATGAGGTTTTGCAAAGGACATGAAGTTTGTAAGGATGCCATCCAACCCAGGGCAGTCAATTTCCATTTAACATTAATGAAAAGATTCCTGTATTATATAGCATCCAAAAATGATTGATGAAATAGGTGAATCATTGTTGAATATTAGATGCGATCTTTTATATTCTGATCAGATACTCAGATGGGCACTTACCTTTGGGAATCATTCTCATTCACAAGTATGACGTACATACAAAGAGGAACTTAAATTCTTCAGGAAGGACTGAGGAGATTAAGCTAGGTACTTTCATTTGTTTCTAATTTGAGCATACTGTTCCCTAGAATATTTTCTAATTCTGATTTCACTGCAGAATTGTTCAGATCTGAATAAAGTCTGTAAATTACAAGTGGTAAACAAACTTGGGAACTAAAGCTAAATATTACAGAGGTAGATAAAGTAAGTCTGAGGTAAATTCAAGTATTTAATTCTTATCTTTTGCCCATAGTTATGTTGGTATTTTATTCATTGGATTCACCAACTTAGAGTTTGTAATCATAATTGAGAAGATGAATTTTTCCTGTATTTGAATAGTTTACTGAGCAAATTAATAGTATAAATATGACTTCAAGGGAAACTACTTAAGAAAACAATCATTTACATGCACCTTTAATGAACATGCCCATGTATCCTTTTACTAATTATCACTTATTCATCCTTCAAGTCACAAATCAAGCACCATGTTGTCAGACCTGGTTTCCTTCAGTAGATGAAATCCCTACTAGATGTACTTATGGTACCTTGTACTACTTCTTTATAGCCCTTACCGCTTTGTCAATTTTATACTAATATTTATGATTATTTAACTACCATTGTTCTTCTTGGCTAGACTATAAACTCCACAGGACTAATACTATGGGCTATGTGTGTTTTACTCGCCTTTGTTTCTTTGCCTAGTTCAGTACTTGCTGCATAACCGAATAAATTAGAAGTGCATATTAATGTATAAAAAGTTATGTGAATACTGAATCAATTTCATTAATTTGTTAAAGAATCCTCTGCCACGTGAACTTCACCTGAATAAACATTTTACAATTACAATTACTATTCGTAAATAAAATCACTGATTTTAGTATCTGGAAGAGATAACATACTTTTCCATTTCAAATAGACTTTGAATATTTTGAATAGCCGAATTTAAAATTGCAGGATTCAAATGATGACAGATTTTTATTTATCAAAAGCATTCTGGGCTATTATTAAAATAAACACAATTGACTTTAAATATAAGTTTTGTGAAACACTCTCTGTGAGAGCTATTAGAGCAATTCTACATTTTTAGTTTCTAATATATGAAAACATGGCACATATCATACTGAAAAATCCCTTTAAAACAATGAACACTGTAATTTCAGTAATGAAATTTATCTGTATAATGCATTTTTAAAATAATACTTGAATATTTTAAATTTTCATAGTACCTATATTTGAGAAAGCTATAGTAGTAATTAATTATTCCCAAGTAGGAAAATTAAAATTCATTTTATGATCATTATTAATTATTTGAGTTATAGACAGTCTGTTGCAAATCTGAATATCTAAATTCAGAATTTGGGCATGCAGATATAATTATAATCTCTCTTTTGACAGCTTGAATTTACATAGTTAAGTAAATACACATATTCTCTTCTTCTTCTTCTTCTTCTTCTTCTTCTTTTTAAAAAAAATTCCCGGTTAGAAAAAGGACTGCATTTCAAAAGTCAAATATAATGCTAAGATAAACAATTTTTCCAGTTTTGAGACACTGCTGCATCTTGAATTGAGCTATCTGTGTCATGCTAATATTTCCTACATTTTCTTTTTGAGAAAAAAAATGCTAAATACCCCCTATTTCCACACATATATGGTACATATCTCTATATATCCCACACTTTCTTATATTAGGCTGTTCAGGAATATTACACGAGAAACTGTGAGGAAGAACTTGAAGAATCAGATGATGATAACTTCCTCATAATTTGATAGCTGCTCTAAGCTTGGCTGAGCGTCCTCTGGGGTTATTTTGTACATCTTGATCTTCCGGAGTAAGTACCTTCTTATGCATCACTTTCCACATTAAAGGGGCCCTTCCTATAGAGACTCCTTCCGTGTTTTCATGATCTGAACCCAACTGTGATTTTTGTATCACCTTCTGTCTAGCACTTAGGTTAAACCTTTGTGTCATGCTTATCCCAAGCAGGAATCGTTTGATGATGCGATCCTCCAGTGAATGGAAGGAGAGGGCAACCAGGCGACCACCAGGTCTCAGAAACTTCTGAGCTGTCTTCAGTCCTGTGTAAAGTTCATTGAGTTCATTGTTCACAAATATGCGAAAAGCTTGGAAAGTCTTGGTAGCGATATGGGTAGATCGTTGTAGCAAGTCTTTTCGTGCATAAGTAGCAGATGGAGGAAATGCACCTACAAACAGATTTTGTAAAAACAGGAAAAGAGGACAAATAGGTAACATTAATATTTTCCACTGTAAATTTACTGGGTTGTGTTGTGTGTATATTTAAGGAACTAAGTTTCCTTAGAAAACTGTGTCATTTCATCCATACTTCTCCATTTTATTTCCGAGCCTTCCATCAAAGTTTAAAACTATTCTGTCAGAAACATATTTCAGAACTCTTAAGGGTAAATGGAGTCAAACAAGAGCAGAGAAAGAGAAAAGGGTGAACAAATATTTGAAGAAATAATAATGAAAACCTTCCTAACTTTGATGAAAAATATTAACTCTCAGCTACAAAAAATTCAATGGACCTCAAATAGAATAAACAAAGAAAACTGCACCTAGATGCATCATGATCAAACTACTACAAGCTGAAGATAATAAGAAAAATCTTGAATATAACACAGAAAAACAATATATTACATAGGAGAACAAAAATATGATTAACAGCTAATCTCTCATTAGGATAATGGAGTCTATAAGATACTGGAATAACATTCAAATTGTTGAGGAAAAAAACCCTGTCTTCCAAGAAAGCTATTTTAAAACCATTCTTCAGAATTAAAGGTTCAAAGACATTTTCAAATAAATTTAAAAATGAGAAAATTCATTGCTAACAGCTCTAAATTTAAGAAATGCAAAAGGAAATACTTCAGGCTGAAATAAAATAACATCAGGTGATAACTTGGATAGAGAGAGGGTAATGAAAATATGAGTGATATGATATGAAGATAAGAAATAATTCTCTTAATTTCTTAAAAGACAGGACTGTCTTTCTATCATTCTTAATTTCTTTAAAAGGCAAGACTCTAAGTAAAATTATAATATAACATTCTTGGTTTTATAATATAGATATAGATATGTATTGTATATGACAGCAACAGCACAAAGGATGAGAGTGTGTAAATGAAACTACACTAGTACAAGGTTCCTATATTTTACTGGAAGTTAAAGTTGCATATTGTGGTCCCTAGAGCAATAACAAAAAATAATGCAAAGAAATAAAGCTAATAAGTGAATAAAATAATAATAAAATTAATCCACAAAATATTGTTTAACACAAAAGAAGGCAGAAGAACAGGAAAATAAAAATGAGACAAAGAGAAGACAAATAGCAAAATGGCAGACAATAAATCCAAATATAAAAATAATCACATTAAATGTAAGGGTACTAAACACTCCAATAAAAACGTAGAGACTGACTGAAAACTAGCAAGACCTAATTATACATTGTCTACAGAAATGCACATTAAATATAAAAACACAAATAAAAGTAAGCAAGAGGCTGTGAAAAAGTATACCATGTAGAGATTAAGCAAAAAAAACCCCAGAGAGACTATACTACCATTAGACAAAATAAACTTTTAAAAAGAAGAATTGCTAGACCCCAAAATAAACATTTACTATTGAGAAAAATGATCAAGACAGCAGTAAGATACAATTACAAATGCATATGCACCAAATAACATAGTTCCAAAAATGTACATGCTTCAGAAAAATGACCCACATTTATATAGGCAATTATGTTTTGATCAAAATGTCAAGTTAATTCAATGGAGAAAGAACAGATTTTCAATGAAAGTGATTATTTGTACAAAATAAAATGAACTTCAACCCTTACTCCACACCATACACAAAAATTAATTCAAAATGGATCATGGACCTAAGAGTAAACACTAAAACCATAAAATATATATCTCACAAACCTCTCTTATTCAGCACATATAAGGGAATCTCACAATTTAATAACAGTTCACATTTAGTAATCTGTAGCTCTGGTAGTAAAGTACATTAAGACACATCTGATTAATCTTCTTAGGAAACTGGATCAGAGGAGGGGAGAAATAATATTTTACCTGTACCACAGAGCTAAGAACTCGGCAGCCTGACGTTAACCAAATCAGTGTTATGGTTCACTCTTCCTCTACAAAATCTACTTTGCTGAAAGGCTAGAAAACGTTAGACATTAGGGAATTTATCTTCCAACAACCAGGTCTCTCAGAAACAAAATGCCAAAGTCAAAGCTGAGGAGGGAGGTCAACTTCTTTCCCTTTGCTATTCAATTTCTCCATTTTCCGGGAAAGAGTTTTGGTCACTGGGCAATGTATTTCAAAACATTCTAAGGATCTGAACAAACATGCAACTGTTCACAATTTAGAGCTTGGATTTAGAGAACGCTTCAAGAAGGTTGCATTCCTGAAGTCCTTATGTGATTCAAACCTTGCCTAATTCAATGCTAATTTTTTCAAAGGAGAAATGTAATATAAAATACATTTTAATGTATATGGATTTTAATGTAAAATAGGAGGTAAACATTCATGGAGCATATGGATCAACAAATACTGTAGGATATTTTTGCTTCAAGGCTTAAAAAATTGTTTTTCTTATCATCTCTAATATTTTGTAGAAATTAAAACCATGGCTCAACATGGTAACTGCTTAGTTTTCTTTGCATTTTATCACATTTCAAAGATATATGTTTGAGGATGTGGTTTTTAACATAGCACCCTGAATTAGCCATGCCTGGATATGTGTTAACTAAATTGATGAAATGATAGAAAAGCAGAGAGCTTAATTAACACTTCCTTGATATTATCTTTAAATGTTTTTTAAAGCTAATACAAATAGGAAATGTTAAAATAACAAAGTAATGTCTGAAATCCCCATAGAAATTCTAATATAAACAAGAGCATTGGTTCATTTGACATGACAAAGTATGGTAGGCATTTCTGTTTACCAGCTAAAATGGCACCTTCCTCTGCTATAATTATAGTTTATAATTCATTCAGCCAGCTAGTTATGAAACTATGAGATTCCTGACTGATTTTTTTAATTGAGGAAATCTGTTTTTATTTCAAAGTATTCACATAAAGTGAGACTTTATTAACATTTTATATTATGCAATGTCAAGTTTATATAATTCATGTTCACATTAAGTACATCCACTCTATGAATCTGGAGCTCAAAAATTAACACCACTGTGACCAGATAAGCTTGTCTTTATAAGGTCTAATTAGGCCTTGTCAATATCATATCATGGAGAAAGAAAATAAGAGCTTTTGTTTATATTTAGGAATGGATGATCCTGAAGATAATAGGATAACTACATTCCATGAAGCTTTCCTTCTGGGGCTTTCTTACTTTTGTTTAGGGAATTCTAATATGGACTATGTCCACTGGATTTCTTGGGAAGGATTTCTAGGTGTGGTTCTGTCAGCCTCCTCAAGTTCCATTTTTAGAGAGATGACAAGGGACTGCAATGGGCAACGTGCTTCGCGCAGCTTTTTGGTGCTGCTCTGGGGATGAAAGGCACATATCCTCCCTTCCTTTTTACTGGCACTTTTGTGTCTGTAATTTATGGGAAGAGAGGTTGACAATGCAGATTGTGTAAAATGAAATAAAGAAACAAAAGTATATAAAATAGCATATGGCAATGAAAATTAAGTAGTAAGAACAAAACATCAACTGGCATTGTTACAAACAGACAAGAATATAAGAAAAGACAATACTGCTATCAAGAATTAAGCAAGATTCTTTGTCTGAATTGGAAACTTTAAAGACAATCAGTAAATGTCCTGTGCCTCTGAGGTAGCAAAAAAGGGTTTCCTTGTGAAAGTCACTGGTCAGAGAGCAACTCTGCCACAGAGTTCTTAGGTATGCATAGACTAGGTAGGAACATTTGCCTACAGGTCATCTGGAAAAAAGATTCAAAAACTATACCAGAACCAATGCCTACCTATGAGCTGGAATCTGATTTAGGCCATAGGAAGAAAAATATTAGTGATACATGCTCCCTGACTCTGAGTAGCTGGCTGTTTTGCAATCCTTCACTGCTTTCTCATCTCCCACATCCTGTTATCAGAAATAGAAACTGGTCTCTCTGTTTTTCCATTTCCTGAGCTTAATCACAAAGTCTTGTATGGCTAATTCATTTGATTAAGGCAGAGAGCAGGTAAGACAAAATATGGACTCAATCACAGTTTGGGTCATTTGGTTTGGTACTGAGAGAAAACCTCCTTTTTCTGGTTTATAGTCCATCAACAGATTTACTTCACACCAGGCCAATGTATATTAGTTCTAAGTGGGAAGAGGTGTGCTTAACTCTTCACATAGCACTTATCACACTACTGTGATTACTAGTTTGCTTGCCTGTCTCACCCTACTCCAAGCCATCATCATCTTTTCCACACAGTCATCAGACAGATCTTTTGTGTACAAAAATTGGATGTCATTCCACGGTTCAAAACCTCTAGTATCTTCCTATCACATGAAATAGGAACTGAAGTTCTTCTTACCTTGGCCAAATGTCCCTATGTTATATACAATTTCTGCTTCTCACCACCCCCATTTCTCTGAACTCATCTCCTGATCTTGAGCTCTGTAATCTTAACTAATTCATGGCATGTTCATCCTGGGTCCTTTGACCTGTACCAAGAATATCTCTCTGCCTATATATACCTGGATGGGTTACTCCTTACCTCACTCAGGTCTCTTCTCAAACACTGCAGAATTAGAAAAGAAAAATAGCACCCTGTCACTGGAGTCCCCTTACATGGTTTTATTATTTTTTTTCATAATACCTTATCAGGGATAATATTTATTTGTTTACCATCTATCTGTCTTCCTCCACTAGAATATACACTCAGTGAAAACAGAGACTTTGTTAACTGCTATAAATCTTTTACAGCAAGAAGAGTTAGTAGATTGAACGAATGATTGTATTTGTACTTTAAAGTTATAAACATAGTCATTGCTAAAACAACAAAAATAAAAGCAAAAAGATATATTATCTGTAGTATATGCAGTAAAATGTTAATGTCACTTCTCCTTAAATTCCACCCTAAGAGGCAATCAAGAGGTATACTTTCTAACTTTTTTCTTAATAGATATATATGACACTTGTATATAAATGTATGTACATGCATACATATATATATTTGTAAAAAGGGAATGATCTGTACAATATCTG